AAAGAAGACAAATTTAGCTTTTTGAAAATATTTCCGTTATTAGAAAACACCCAAAGCATGCTGAGAAAACAAATGTAGTTTGAGAAGCAAGTCTGTTAAGAAACCAAGTCTTTTGAAGGGGACACACCCATTAGGCTATTTTCTGTCCAATACATGTATGGTTATGTCTGTCCTTTTTGTCTTCTTTTTGCATTTGTAAAGAATGCAGCAAACAATTGCAGTTTTCTGAGATGAGGTATTTCTACAGAAATCCTTTCTGTGGAAATACCTCTTCAGAAAGGAAGAAATCACATCCTATTTTAAAAAGGGTATATCCTTGAAGGAGGGGGACTATAACCTGTGACTGTAGCTACATTTGGTTTAGAAATAATATAAACCTGAGAAATTCCTCCTATAAAACACTGCTTTATGCAGATTTTCTTTAGGATCTTATTCCAATTTTTTTTGAAGAATATCTGCAACAGAATTATATTAATGGTACAAGCTTAGTCAATCCATATTAATTTTGTTTTTTTAAGGAGGGTAAAGATTTTTTTCCCTTAATTTTTTGTTTATTTGGAGGACTCAAATCACCTTACAATACAAGGTGATTTGAAAAACCACTTTGGAAGGTTGTTAGGTTATTCCTTAGCTCTAAGAATAAAAAAAAGGTTATTTGGCCTTAAAGGTTGCCAACCCCTGTTCTATATTTTGATACCCTGAAGAAACGGGGGGAAAAAGAAAGGTATAATGGGTTAATTTATTTGTGTTGTATTTAATAAGACAATCTAGAGAAAGATTGACAATTAAAATCAATTTGCTTTTAATCAAAATCACCTAAAAACAGATTGCTACAGAACAGCATAATTAATTCCTATGAAGAGAATAAAGTCTGTATCAAAATCAATTAATGGTCAATATAAAATAACAGGGAATCCAGACTTTTTAGGGAAAATTTTGTTTAATGTCTAAAACGATACAGTACCTTCAGAAACTTCACCACCCTGATAAATATTTGATGTCAGGCATCCATGCTGCTCAGTTGAAGGCAGACTGCCCTGAAAATTACGCAGTTGTCCTTTTTTCTTTTTTCCTGCATTGTTGCACCAATCACATCCATGGGAGCCTTGCCCTCGTCTTATGCATCATGAGCTCCTGACTGGGAGAAGATCAGAGAGCAGGTGAGTCACGACTGCGAGGGGAGGAGGGAGAGCGAGGCTTTTTACGTCAGCAAGGTCAACACAGAGGCTCCAACCAGAGACGGAGAGGTGCAGGGAAAGGGGTCTCATGTTAGGATGATGGACATTTTAGCATTTGGCACGTCAGGACACACTTCATTTCTCCTCTCAAGGGAAATGACTGGGTGCACACCTCTCAAACACTAGCTTAGCGTGAAAGAAAATAACTTCTCTAGAATTTTTATTCTAATAAAAAGGATTCTGCCAAGACTGCAGCAAATCTAAACTAGTCTTCAAATAACGAGGATGGAAAAGCCACGATTTCTGTCTACAGGTTATGCACCGTAGATGAAACCTTCATTGGCAATGTAGGTTTTTCTACTCTGTTTTGGAGGAGTTATGCTGAGATTATGCATTATGTTGGGCAACGATCTAACAAAACTGCTAATTGTTAAAACCAAGCTTCAGGTGTTAATTCCTAGAGTTTACAGCCACTGCCTGTCCATAGCAGTTTTTTGTTTGTTTTAAAGCACTAGTGCCTTTTTTTTGGACAGTAGGCTGACAGGAATGGGGGTACGAGACAGGGGGAGACACATGCAGCAAAGGACCACAGGTCAGATTTGAGCCTGGGTCGGCCGCGTCAACAATTAAGGTCTCCATACAGGTGTCGTGTGCACTTACCACTGCACCACCAAAGCACGGCAAATGTGTATAGCAGTTCTAAAGCGCACTAATGAATGGGCTGCATCCCTCAAAGGCAGCGCCATAAAAAAATAAACTGAAAAAAAGTTTTTAATTTGGGAAAGGGTAGATAAAGGACAAAAAGGGGGATCTCCATAGATTTGGGTGTCAGGAACTGTAATTCATAAAAAAAAAAACAAGTTGATATAAAGGGTATAATGAGGGGGGAAGTGTAAATATAGAAAGCTGCAGTAGTTGGTCACATGTCACAATCTCAAATGGCTTTAAAAAGCTTTTCTGTTTTAGTATTCAGTCTCTGAGATGGGTTTACTCCACTGGATATTATTCTTCAAAACTTCTAACGATGTCTTTAGATCTCTTGAATGCAGCCCTTTTCTCGAACCCCCAATAATTTCTGTTGGAACTAGTTCTAGATTCCAGAAATTTAACATTTTCTGCTGGGGAATTTAGTAAAACCTTTTATGTAATATGATGCAAAGATAACAATATGAAGCTACATTTTTCTTGTTTGGATTCATGCATACCTTTGCCATACTGAAAAATAAAATCCTTTTTATTTTTACTTTACTAGTAAAAACAACAAACGTTTTGGGTTCAAACAGAATTTTGGAACTGCTCTTCTATCTCCACGATAAATATAAAGCATCTGCTGTGTTGTTGGTCTTGTCTTCGTAGCACAGACATTTTTTTATTCTTGTATTTTCCTTGTGAGAAGATTTAAAAAGCAACCTTTATTTCAGCACTAACCTTGAGAACACAGGGGTTTTCGCTAACCCGAGGAACATAAGATTTGCTGAAACTCCTGCAGCTTTCTTGCTTTTATACTCTTGGTACCCTCCCTGACCAGAGTCTATCTTGTCTTTTCAGTATTGGTTAAATAACCTGTTCTTGTAAAGCCTCTGTTATTATTTTAGTTCTTCAGATTCATCTTGGTATAAAATTTGGTCTTTAGAGCTCAAAGACTTTCCCTCATATTTATCTCTCTTCCTTTATAGTTTTTCTAGTCTTAGTACAGAACGTGATGGATATTTTCTCAAAGCTGCATTCAAATGAAACCAGTAAACTTCTTTACTTGGAAAAACAAAAGCGTTGCCACCTCTCTTGCATTCATTAAAAGATGAATGTAAGAATGTGTGTCTGCCTTAATGTTTGTAAAAAAGTAAAGAATGAAATTAGTTAAGGTCTCCACCCCCACCTGTTGCTTCTGCTCACTCCAGTAGTAGCTAATGCTAAGCATTTAGCTGGGTGTATATGTGTATAATATATTTATATTGTACTCTTGTCCTGTCTGATATCTTTGAAAAATAACTAATTTTTAAATGATTCAGAAATATCACAACAGCACATCCATTTCAGGTACACTGTTCATGGTGTAGTTGTTTATTCAATAGGAAAAACTATTTCTGACCAGACTATTTAAACAAAGAAGCAGTTTAAGAGAGTTTATTGCACCTTTGGGGTATTTTTTCTTAATTTATTTTCGAATTCAATTGGAATTACACTAACCGTAATGCAATGTCCATGCTAAGCTTTCAGCAGATTTATCATTACCAAAATCTTGCATTATAAATAGGGGATTTACCTTTTTTAGAACAAGTAAGAAATGTATGTATCATGCAGTTTTGAAAAGAATAAATTCATTAGCAAAACACAATAATTTAAATAAAAAGGAAACTGTTTAGATTTGATAATGTAGCAGGCAATATTTCTCAATAAATAAAATGATAGCTCTTAAATATTTTTAAAGAATTAAACACATTTTATTGCAATTCTCCAAAACCTGCAAACAGTAAATATTCCTTTAAGAACAGGTTATTAAAAATCCTTTTTCTCTTTCCACCTAAAATCCCACCTTTTTGTTTTCTCCATCTTTTTTGGTGCCATGTCCACACGCAGTTCAGTTATAGTACTTTGCTTTCACCTGCACAACATGTTGTTATTTAATGATAAGCCATTGTGGACTGTCCAATTAAGTATAAATAACTGTTCAGATATGGACACTTGGCCTGTTTAACTTCTCAGATACACAGTTTTTCTAGCAAACTGGCTCGGATCAATATATTGAGTATTAAAGCTGAATTAGATGTCCTAATTTCATTTGCATTTTCATGCATTTCTTATGACTTTCTTGCAGGGATACAATTGAATTCAAAATAAACAGTTATTAGGATTCATTTTGAGAAGACTGTGGATTTTTTTATTTATTTGTAATTACACAGTGTGTTAATCATTTTATTTTCTGCCAGGGACAGGCATTGCCACCTCTGATTACTATCAGCATGTCACAGCCTGAACTCCTCTGTTAGCAATCTGTTTCAGAGCCTTAGAGGCTCCTGTGTCGCTTTCAGCAGCATCCATCAGTCTTCCCTTTAGAAGACTTCCAGCCACAGCAAAGCCCACACCTCAATCGCATCCCCTCAGTCATGATATATAGCAAGAACTGGTGACTAACACAAATAAAAGCAAATTAAATAGATGCAGCAAGTGCAAAAATCCTTAGTTTTTTTTGTTTTTTTCATTTTCTTTTATTGACTGCATCTTCTGCTTTTCATCTGGTTTTAGAGCGGTATCTTCAGACCGGCTGATACAGTGTTCATGAAATACAGGGCAGCTGTAAACATTGGTATCACTCTTTGCACAGTGACCTGCAAATGCATTCATACCGCTTCAACTTTCCCCCATTTTCTCTAATTTGCAAGTAGAAATTTACTTTTTATTAATATGAGATTCTATGTGATAGACAAACACAAAAATGTTGCCTAACTGTAAAGTGTAAGGAAAATTGTGCATCATTGTAATGGTATTTTTTAGATTATGATAAAGGTTATTTGTATGTTTCTATTTTAATATCTATTTTTTATATGAATAAATGCAAAACTACTCATTCCACAGGAAACTAACACTTTCCAGCTTCATCTTGAAAAAAGTAACATTATCATGATGTGATAATGATTATCTTCAGCAGAGACTGGGAAGCTGATCAAATCTAAAAGGAGAATGGATGGAATTTAGAAAAATAGTGTCAGAAGCTGGGTGGCGATGATCCTAAACTTACACCCCAAGCATTTTTTGCAAATATTTTTTGCTCTCCATGGTTCTACAACTGTGGGTCGAACAAAAGTGAGTGCATAAATAGATTTTTTTATTTAAAAAGTACGTTAAAAGTAGACATTTGTTAGACTAATTTTATCATTTTTGGACCATTGTGTGTTTGTCAATCACAACATTCCCAATACATATTATCCTGTGGTTGTAAGGTTAAATGTTTAGAGGGTGTGAAAACATTTGCAGGTCGCTGAGTCACTTCATGTAGTAAAGACCGCTCTCACGCAACCATACACCTCCATGATGGCTGAGACGAACAAGGACACTTGAGGAGGAAAGGGAAATGAGGAAAAATGGCCGACGAACACCAGCAGTAGCTTCCATTCATTCAAAGTGCTCATTGAGGTTAAAACTTTACATTATTCACAGACACATATTTTGGAATCGTAGTAGCATGCTGAAAAGTCACAGGTAAGTCAGACAGTAATTATGTTTCCTAAAGGTGCATCTACATCTATGAAAGTCCATAATGTGTTCGAGTTTTCTGGTTTACTGAAAGACAGACATCAAATTTGCAGTTCAGGTATGTCTGAAGGTAATGCTGCTAAAGATGTTGGATATTGTGTCTCTCAGAGGAGGATGCTTGATACCAGGGCAGAGGATTATGTGGGGTTGGACCCAGGTGAGGCAGTGTTTGTCATGATGACCTCTGATCGCACGTTTTGGCCTCTCCCTGTGCTACGCAGAACCCCATAAAGTCTCTCGTCCACTGAATCCACCAATTTGTCTGTTAGGCTGCTTTGTGCCTGCAGGGAAACATCTGATAGCATAGCCTGGCTACTGTTGTTGTTCCTGTTGACCACTCGTGGGTCCATGTGGCTCATTTGTGGCATTGCAGTGCTCACAGGCTGGCTGCTGATACCTCCCGCCTCCTTGTCTGAGGACACTTGGCAGCCCTCAGTCTCACCAGTCAACTCTGCAGAGGCGTTTCTTGTTGGGTCTGCTCCTTCAGCCGTTAAGTTGCCTGCATTCCCTGCAGCTCCTCCCCCCACTTGATCTTCTGCTCTTTCCTTAGCCACCTCTTCAGAAGCTGCAACCTCACTGGCTTCTTCATCTGCTGCGCTTGCTATTCGTGACAGGGTGCTGTGGTACCTGGTGTCCAGCGGATAACCTGCACTGTCACCCCTCCTAAGTGGGGTAAACCTCTGCCTCTCCAAAGATGGGGAGTACCTTCCCCCAGAGGCTGAACCGGGGTCGCTGTATTGCTTGTGTCTCTGCCACTGCTTCCGGAGGTGAACTCTTGATCTATGTCTGGAGCGTAAAGGAGAGTCTTGCTGATCAAAGCGTGGATCGTGCCGAAGGAACTCATTGAAGAGAGCGTCTGTCTTTTCATCTATGCTATAGTCACGGCGGCGGAGACGGGATCGGTGTTGACTCGGCGGCTGAGGGGCTGGGCTTGCCAGTGGAGAGATGAGCTGAGTTTGTGTCTCTGGAGGTTTCTGAGGATGGACGGATTTCAGGACTTGATATGAATCTTGAAGGGTATGAGAGAGACCGCCACCCTGAGAGTTCTTCTTCAGTTTTTCCTCTGTCGCTGAGCCGAGAGCCATCTGGTCCTCCAGCTCCTCCTGAAACAACTTTGTCTCCATGCTCTCACACACCGAGCCTTTTCTACCAGAGCTGGTGAAAAACAGTCTCCTCTCAGATGCAGTCTTCCCCCGAGGGGCCCCCGGAGTTCCAAACAACCTCATATCCTCAGGGGCCCTGGATGGTGCTTCTATGGAGGCATAGCCACTGTCCATTTGAAGAAGCTTCCTGTTTCCCCCCTCCCCCTCTCCTCCAGCTCCACTCCCCGTATCACTGTTTCCTCCTGATGGCCCTCTGGCCCCCACCTCCACCTCCCCCTCTCCTTCAGGCTCATCGTCCAGGTCTTGTGACAGACAAGTGTCCAGGCCTGAGCGAGCTCCTGCACCACCGAAGGATGAGACACTGTCGGCATCACTGCGGACTGACTCCCGATCCGTGCTGCTCTGATCTGAAGAGGCATATTGCTCCAGAGAGGCTCTCAAGCTCCAAATGTCTCTGTAGAGGGACGGGGGTGCCTCTGAGCTCTCGTGGCGGCTCATAAAAGACGAGCCTGAGTCTGTCCTTCCTCTGGCTACGGCTCCTAACACCCCCTCGTCCCCCTCATCTGTCTCCTCATCATTCTTTTTCCTCACATCGGACGTGACTGAGTCTGTTTTTGCTTCCTCGGTTTTTCTCAGCAAGTCTTCAAACCTGTCCTGCATGGTCAGTTCTTCTTCCGTCCCAAACAGGTCATCATCTTCCGTAGACTGCAAAACACTTCTTGTTGCTTTGGCTACTATTGCTGCTCCAAAAGTCATTTCTTGCTCTCCTCCGGTTCCATTGACTGTAGGTTCACCCTTACCCAGAGCAGGATCAGATGGGAGATTCATTTCTGCCCTCCTGGTGCTCATGCTAACATCTACCTCCACCGGGGCATCCAGTTTTAGCCTGCACAAGTGAAGAACACACAGTCAGTACCTGACTCCGCTAGGCACTTGCTCATTTTATGGTGTTAAAAGAAGAGAAATACCTTCTGAGGAAGACTGAGGATGTAGAAGTATCTTCGGGATGGCGTAGAGACTCAGCAGAGAGAGACTGGAGGCCGCTGGTCTGGGTGGGCATGTGTGGGAAAGATTCAAATGTGTCATCTTGGAAAGGAGAGGAGTCCTCTTCGGTGTGGTCGGTGGTTTCACTCGCTGCTCTCTGTCTATGGAAAGGCTTTCTCTTTGGGGATCCTGGTAGAAATTCAGACACATCTTCCCATTTGTATCAAATGCCAAAAGTGTCACATTGTGCTGCAGAAGTTAAAGTTACCTACACTGGTTATTATCTAAATATATTTGGAAATGAAGGGAAATAATGATTAAAACATTATTTTAAATAAATTAATTTGTTTAATAGATTAACAAAAGAAGAAATAAAACAGTTTCCCAAATATATATATATATATATNTAGATTAACAAAAGAAGAAATAAAACAGTTTCCCAAATATATATATATATATATATTTAACTTTGGTATGAGCTACTAAAGTAAAGAGTTGAATATAAGATAAAGCTCCAAATATTTAAATTATTTTTAAAACTAACAAATCATACATTTTCATTATATACCATATTGATTCATTTGGTCCGTAAATTAAAATACAACTGAAAAGTTCCCCAAAGAAAACACCACATATCGACTGATTATCTACAGATTAATTTTTTTCTTGTTTTCTGCACAAAGCTAATGAGTAAATGATGTTTAACATTACAATATTGCTTTAGATAAATCAGAAAATGCTTCTATACACAAATATTAGCTTAAATAAATGTGTAGTACCTTCTTGTAGGTTGCAATTTTCCCGAGGGACTTTTTATCCGACAAATAAGCCAGTAAAACATTGGATAGATAATTTCATGGTGCAGTTAACACAGGAACCATTAAACCGATCAATAATGTTACAGTTATATACTGTTTTAACATTTAACCATTCGGTGAATTAATTTTTTTGTAAACTCAATATTTTTCCAATAACCTGCACAAACCTTTAGCATCCAGACTGGCAGCTCGATGACTGGTGTCAAACTTCCACCTTCTAAAGTAAGGCCCCGCCCCCTCCAGACTGGCATGTCGCCGTAGTTTAGAGAAGAAGTGCAGAACAGAAGTCGGCCCCGGAGCTTCCGTGGGCTCACCCCTCGGGCCTCGTTCGCTGTCGTCCTCGCCCCTATCCCCAATGGTCTCCATCTGACAGAAAGGATAAAGGCAGAGGACGATTGAGGGGAGGTAGAGACACATTAGGAAGAGATGTTGCTGAGGGAGATAGTGGGAGGCAGAAGTCCTCAGGGGACAGCTTTCTGTCACTTCACAGCAGTTATAACTGATGTCATTGTGCGGCCGCAGCTATGAGCCTGCAGCAGATGATTCATTTTCACTGTTTATTTTGGAAAGCAGTAGATTTGTTTGCACTGAAGAAAAGAAAACTATTAGAATACAGAACAATTCAGTTTTCAATTTAAGAACAAACTTTATTTATTCATTGAATTTACAGATGAATGGATGAATTGAAATGCAAGAGTTAACTGCCAGGTCTAGAAACACCCTTCATGTAGTTATCCTTCATCTGGTAACAACCAGTTGATTAGTCCCTGGCATGGTCCAAAATAATCTAACTGTAGCCCCTAACCTCTGTTCCTTCAGCTTTTGTGGGGTCAACATTAAGAACTTTTTTACAGCCTTTATCCCCCCTGACGTCAATAAATGCACACAGATGATCACGGGTAATCAAATACGGACCTACGGCCTTACAAAAAACATTTCTACAAAACACACCAAGTTACACCAATGTAACAGCAGAAGAGCTCCATTATAAAACCCAGAAATATGAAGGGGCAATCATTTGCATGCATCAAACAAAGTACATTTCTGTTAATTTCACTGAGGGCATCCGTGCTTATATGTCATGGAAAGGATTGTGGGATTTCTCATAGCTCCTTAACACCAGTGAGGGAACTCGGGAACTCCCTATGCTAAAGGATAGGTAGGATAGGCTCCTTTTTCCTGCCTCCTTCCTCTTCCAGCACTTATCATAACGTTAACACGTTAGCATAATAGCACATTATGGAGTTGAAAAAGCAAATGTTTAGAACAGATTTCTGGACAGGCTCTTCACTTCCTGGACCTGAATTGTCCACCTCTGCTGAGATGACATGCAAACTGATGATCAATTAAATAAAGCAAGAGTGGGAAAAAAAAAACACTCATTTGTTTTTTGTTAAATGCAGCTGATCTCTGTGTTTGATTATGCAACCAAAATATTCTCCTTTAGGTTAAATGTTTTGTTTCAGTTACATTACATGTACTGGTACCTGTATCCTTGTTATATTATTGGTTCATATAGGCATAATTTCTGGATGAAAAAGTAACAACTACATAGAAATGGTAGAGGAGTAAAATATACAAGCAACTTCATATTTCTAATGGTTTTCGGGGGTCTTTAGATTTCTTGTTTAGGCCCTGACTGGAGACAAAATGTCCTTTTTTTTTTTTTTAAATCTGCAGTGTTTTAAATTCTTCTCCAAAAACTTTAAAAAAATGAGACGCAAAAAAAAAAATACATTAATTGAAGTCAGAATCTATCTTGGGAAATCTTGAGCTGTCTAAAACTGTCCTACATTTTGTTGACATGAAGAATAAAATGTTCCTCTGAACGCTGTGCTTTAGGTGGTCTGATTTGTATCGTTACATTTAAACCAGCGTGGACCAAAGACTTACCGTCTGGGACCGCTGGGTTCTCAGGACTGATGAGGAACGTCTGGCTCCCGGGTCCAGGACGGTGGAGTGATGTGGATCTCCAGGCAGACCCCCACTCAGACTCTGTCCCAACCAGTCAGGGACTCTTCTCTCAGAGGGCTGGAGGAGAAAAATGTATAACAGCATCACAGGCTGAAAAGCAACAGATGTGTGATACCTATCTGATGTTGTTCCTGATGTGCTACCTGGTAGATGCAAAGGGGCAGCTTGGGGGCTGCAGTCTCGCTGATGTTGATGGTGCTGCTCTCTGTAGAGTCACACTCCATGATGGTGAGTATCTTCAGGTCACATGGAGCTGGAGGCAGGTGGAGGTGGGTTAGCCGGGCCTTTTTTAGGTGATGGAAGTCTCCTTCGGTGAGAGTGTACCTGAGGTTGAGGTACAAAGATCTAATCTCTGTCCATCAAAAATGAGGAATGATAGCAAAATTGCTGTCTGGTCACATGGACGTTACCTGCGTCCTTTTTCCTGAGGGTTTTTATCCTGTTCATACAGTGCAGACTCATTGAATGAGACTCTGCGGCCAGTGGCGCCGGTGGAAACGAATCGGTCCGGCTCTGCATCGTGACAGCTGGATGCTGACAGAGCATCGGACTCATCCAGACGGATGGTGATCTCTGAGTAACAAGGACGCACCAGTGAAGATGAAAAGAGGAGCCTGTGACAACATTTACCCAGAAAGGATATGTGTGAAACTACAAAAAATAAAAAATGCACAGCTCTGACCTTGTGTGGGCTGAGAGTCCTCAGCATAAGTTGTGTTTGTCTTCTCAGGGTCATCGCTTGCTCTGAAAGAAGATGAATTTTACTCCGTGCTATGTTGCCAATCATATTTTAATCATGAGGCCCCTCCCCAGATAAACCAGACATAAAGGTCCTACCTGGAGTACCGTCTTCCCCCCAAGCAGCAGCGGTGACAGAAGAGCAGCAGCAGGGAAAGCAGGACCAGCGTCCCCCCAGCAAAGACGCTCAGCAGCACCAACAGCAACACATAGTTCTCCACCTGGCCGGCCGACACGGGCGCATCCCGTTGCTGAGAAAAAACAAAAAGTGATTTTCAAGGATTTCCCTCCATTAATCTTTGCTTCAGCTCTGACCAGTTTCCATGTTCCCGCTGGAGAAACGGATCCTAAAACATGCAGGCTCCATCACCTATGTCATTGGAGATGGTATGTTAACGTGATTAGCAATGTTGGTTTCCAGATTTTTAACCAGCTTTTGAAAGTTGGTTAAACACACAACATTTTGGTCTAATCTTTTTATTAATTTGTTTTTTTTAAAGTCAAACAAGATCTTTTTATGCTTTTTTCCCCCCCAACTCTTCCATATAGAGCAGGGGTCTCATTGTGCATATCCACAAAACAGGGCTGTAAACCTGTGCTTGCCCTTTTCCAGGATATTGTTAGGATCTAAAATAACTAAACATGAAAATAGCACCTCTATTTCTGCCTCGGTTAAACTTTTTGCTTTGCTATCCTTGGTTTTAATTGGTAACCAATGAAGTAACATTAATCAGTTGGTTCATGTAGATAAACAATAACGTAATGGGGTGTTTTGTGTGGATCATTTAAGGTGGAATGTGGGGGCTGAAGGCTGAACAGGAAGTGGAGCTTTTTCTGCAAACTTTGAGGTACAGTTATGCTCTATAAAGGGACATTGCTTGATTCTGCATGTGCACATCGCTTTATAAACCTGAATGACTGGGATGCATAAGAATTTGCATTGTTTTTTTTTTTATATTTGGTGTTTACTTTTAGGGTGGATCCCACCCAATATTTTATAACGACACCCCAATGCCAAAGTCATTTTCAGAAATTGGATTGAACAATGCTCCATGAGATGTTCAAAGGTTGAGATATTATTTTCTAACTTAAATTTGCTTTAAACTTCCCTACAACATTCTCCTCGACCTTCCTGCTATGTACCCTGATCTTCATGATGCTGTTTGTTCCCTAAGGTTCTCCCAAAACAATAAATAAAAAAAGTCTGATGCCTCCACAGAACATCTCCATTTATACTGAGATTAGATTGCATGACTCCTGAAGGCAGCTGGTTGCAGTGGATTTTGTTTTGGGGCAACCACAGTAAAGGGGGTTGAATGCAAACAATAACAATACATGCAAGCATTTTTAGATTTGTATTTAAAACATTTCTTTAAAGGCTTTTAACTTTGTGAACATGCGCAACTTTGTGTTGGTCTTAAAAAAAACAGATTTTTCTTTTTAACCTGACCAGATGACGGTGTGAAGGTAAAAAGGGTGCGAATGCTTTTAAAATCACCTATGAACTCTATTTATGAACTGAAAGGTAATTGTTTTAGCAATATCCTGAATAAATGAAATTCAGAAAATCTGAGCTTTAAAATGACAGGAACATAATTAAATCGTTTAAATGTGAGCTGCAAAGAACAGTGGAGTCACTGGCCTCCCACGAGAGACATAGTCAGATACATTTGTTTTCATCAGGGCAGAGATTTTACCAAATGACACAGTGTAATCCTGTTACCAGCTGTGCGTGGGTTGGGACACATCCCTGCTTTACTTTTTCCTTTTCTGGACACTTTCCGTTTCTGTGCATTCAAATTAAATGTTCTGTGAAAGACTCCAAACTAGCAGCATCCACACTGATACATCTAGCTATGCATTATGGGACGGATGAAAGTTAAGAAAATACCCTGAAATAGAACAGCACATCAAAGCTCCTTGATGGCATTTAGAAATCAGATCCTTCATCTATAAATATCACTCGGTACACTAATCACTTAAACTTTGATCTTCTCTGTACTGATATTACCTGGGTTCATTTAATTTCAGCTCCTTACATTTGTCTGTCATCTCTAAAACTCCTAACTCATTGATTTAATAGCAAAGCCACTCAGGGGCATACATTTCTCCACTGTTGTGTTTTGTTGGAGGGAACGGGATGGCACAATTCATTCTGCTGGGTCTATAACTGATCTTTTTTTTTTCCAAAGGGCCATGCATCAATCAGGACTCTCTTGTGCCATTACGCAGTCAGCTGTAAGCACCCTAATATTTAATGAGTGGAATTAACAATGAAAGACTCTTAAGTCCTTGCATCCTCGTTTCAAACGCTAACCCAGATACACACCGCCTGCTCGCTCACGCACTCACGTAGACAACCGCCTGCTCTCTTTTGATTAATACACTCAGTCTCGGCTGAGCGGAGCTGGGGATGCTAATCGAAACGTCAGCAAGACCCTTAATTCAATTTCCCAACTCTTCTCAATGAGAGGGAAATGAGGCCTTTGCAGGCTAAAAATGGAAATCGGAGGAGGAAGAGGAGGAGGATGCCGACGCAGATGAGCAATCCCCACTGAAGACTTTCCTGGCTCTTCTCCGAGTGTCAGATTCAGAATAGAGAGGACAATAAATTGACTCCTTTTGCCAGCAATGCCAGAATATTAATCAATTTCAATGTTTCATTTCATGTATTTAGATATTTATTTACAAAGCCCTTTATAATATCCAAATTATTAGATCAGAGCACATAATCTTAAAACCACCCAAAAAGACTTAAATAATAAAAGGGATAAAGCTGAGAAAAATAACTAGCCTTTGTAAACAGAAATAAAAAAAGGTGATTTTGTTAAGAGATTTAAAAATGAAAAGTAAAAATTGAAGTCATTTCTAAAATGAAAAAGAAGCCAATGTGAAGCATAGAAAATAGGCTGGGCACAGGCTGAGGGGGTAGATAAAAGATGGATGTCTTTGTTCTGGAAAAGCTGAAGATGATTTAGGCTCCACTCATCTCAGATGAAGACATACATCAGAGCTAGTTTGATGTAAAATCTTTTCCAAATATTACCCCTAAATGTTCAACAGTGTTCTTTATTTAATCTTAGGAAATGCATGAAGATGTAACACAGGTGTGTGTCACCTGGAGAGGCTCTCTAGGGAAAGGAAATAAAATGTCCTCCTGTCCAGCAAATGATTCCAGAATGATGGAGCCAATGGCTTTTCCCTCTGACTGCAATAATGTCTGTTTATCCCACGTATGAATAGGACTGGCTTCACTGGATGATACACACATTTTGCATCAAAAAACGCTTCAACTCTCGGAGACAGAACCTGTTTCTTCCTGGAGGAAATAATTACTTTACATCCCCATGGGGTTCATATAAACCCAAAAACACATGACTGAGGCATCTTCAAGAAATTTGTTCCAGTTTATTTCCAATTTTCCTCAAAAAATACTATTTTTCCATGATGACACCAAAGGAAGCACTGTGGTAGAAGTGTTCCCCTGAAATATAGCCACAGCTGTGTCTTAAATCAAATTATTCCAATAATAAAAAATAATATTATGACTCAATATTATAACAAATCGAAAATATCAAAATGTTTCCTTATCATTCAACACTTGGAAATGCTCCTGGTAAAAGTAAAAAACCTAAAGCAGACTTAATTCAGACATTATAAAAAAGGTTATGTGTGTCCTTATGCAATGCATACGTCTGGTTCCAGCTATATATTATTAGAACAGAAAGCAGCACCAGTCCTGCTCGATCCAGCTGATTTTAGCCAAGGTTAACCTCAGAGTGTAAAAGGTGGGAGGGACAGTGACTCTGCTTTAAGTCATAAGGACTGATTTTCTTCATAAAATTCAACCTCCCGTATCTCCATAAGGGAGGTAGAGCCATCAATCTGAGAAAAAACAAAACCCATCTGACAGCAGTAAGTCCCTGGATGTAGGACTGTGAAGTGAAAAAAGACTTTTTTGCTCAGGCCGGACAAGAGGTGCCATCACACCCATAAACACCTTTTTAATGTGTGTTCAAGATGGCCTAAAAAAGCCTCAGAACGTATTAATCTGAACTCAGTTTTTAACTCTTTACACAAAAACTAAAGTAAACTCTATATCGTTGACTGATATACAGTAGTTGTTATACTTATAGGCACCCTGCTAAAAACTTCAATTAAATGAAAACCCTTAAACTAAATGAATGTTTTACTGCTGTAGAAAACGAGCTTAAATCTAATTCAAGGGCATTATCTATTGTCTGGAATTTTTTAATTCCTTTTCTAATAGCAGTGGACCAACATTTTTCATTGCTGGAGCAAACAGAGAGGAGGATCTATAGCTATCACTCCTATAACATTCTCTTTGGATCATCCTGAGTCTCCAATCCCTTTTTTCCCTCTCTTTTCTTCATCTAACCCCACAGGTTTTCCACAAGATTTAGCACTATGGACTAAAACAGCCTTGAAATGGTCTGATAAACTATAGTATTTCTGCATAGATGCAGCCAAATGTTTTGGATCATTATCATACTGTGATGACTCATTTTCAATTTGTTGGCAGAGTCCATCCTTTTTTTTTATTTCGCCTTATTTAAGAGTACATTATTTTGTTTACTTTAATAATGTTTATAGGGCATTCGGAGGAAAAAACACCCATAGCATCACAAATCCTTCACCATACTAAACAATGGGTGTGAAGGCTTAATCCTTTGCTTTGATTCAAACTCAGAGTGACTGTAGATTTGCATATACTGTACTTATGAAGATCAACACACAACTTTGATGGTATGTTTGGTTTTCTTTGCAATTTTTGAAGAGATGCAGAAGAAATGGGCCTCTGTGTCACAACATATGTATTCCTATGGGAAACAGGAAGTGATGGACACTCTGATATTTATAAAATTGTAAAGTATTATTTTTAAAAATGCTTGATTTGGATTTAAATAAGATCTGCTCTTAAAAATTGTGCCATAAGTTATTTTTCTAAAATGAATTATGTACTAAACCTTGAAAAAAAAACTGTTCAAATAACCTGAAATCAAAGGTTACCTTTTAAAGAAAGAAAATAATAATAAAAAAAAAACAGCATGTTTTTTTACTTTATACCAGAGATGCAGAAAATTTGTTCAGCACAAAATTATCCAGTTTTTTTTTAAGTCAATTAAAAATGATTCTTTACATTATGCGTATTTTTTTTTTCACTTAAGCTGTAAAGATAATCGACTATTCCTTCAGCGCTTGTTTGAAGTCTGTCTCCAGGGAGGCCCTTTCATGACTCTAGTCTGTGGCGGATTGCATCATTCTAGGTTTATATAGTTGGCACTGTGTTTGGGACATTTGCTTCCTAAAAGTCATCCCCATCACAGATGTTTTCATTCTAAAGTGGATTAAATGTTCAGTGTCTCTTCAGTAACTATAACTTTTCTTGTTTTGACGAGATCTTTAGAAATACAGTTTGAGTTGCATTGAAAAGGAACAGAATCCATAGATGAATGTAAAACATTTACTGCTGTACCTGTTAAATCAAATACTGAAGCATTGATCTTTCGTTCCCTGACAAGTAATCTTTAGCCTGGTTCTTTGTCTACATAACTGAGCATTTCTACTTGTTTCATGTTCTGAGCGATGAATTCTTGACATTCTTGGCACACCAGCTGAACTTCAGCAGACATCTCTGACATTTTCACTGCGTCACATTTTCTCAATTTTCTTAAAACCTTAAGCTTAACTTACTGACATGTCTCTGTCAGATAGTTTTTTTTGTTGTGTTTTTTTAAAGCATTAAAAAAACATTGCTTAGGAAAATGTCAGCTGAAGAAACTGGAGGAAATATGTCCTTGGTAATTTAGGTTAAAAGCACAAGAAGGTCTCACTCTTTTGATGAAAATTATTGAAAAGTGAGGAGAGTATCTTTATGTGTGTCTGAAACAGCTGGATGTAGGCGTGTAAAGGGGGAGTTCCTGTTTTGGCATCAGAATGAGGAACATTTTTTGTGATTTTAGCATCAAATCGAGGAGCGTTTGTGCCAAAGTGAGCGCATTTTGTTGGTCCTCACTTTCTATGAGGTTTAGGGCTTAGTTGTAAATTAAATTTAGGTTAAGACTGGGATTAGGTATGCCAGGGTTATTGCATAAAAAAAGGTTGAAAATGACTGACAATTAATGGAAGCCAATAGGAGTCTACACACTGTCCTCACTACATATAACAAGATAAGAAGCGATGTGTGTGTGTGTGTGTGTGTGTGAGTGCATCGGCGTGGCCGGGACTTAATGAAACCTGCTGTTTTTACAAACCCAGCCAAACGGTTAGAACAGCTCCATCAATCAGCCGGAGCAGCGAGGCCTCTCACCGCTCTTCAGGTCATCTTTCTGACTCACTGTGCAGACCAACAAGGCAGTCAATTCTATGTCTCCACTGAGAACTTTAACTGACAATAATCATAACAACCAGCCCGGATTCACTGTCTCTCTCTCTCATCCATCCTGTTCTGTTTTACTATCGTTTCTCTTTGCCCATCACCTGCAGATTAAAGCTAACACCTGGAACACAGTTTTTCCAACATGTCTTTCTTTGTGGCGGAAACCCAGCAGGATTCAGAAAGCATTGAGACATCTTCTTCACGCAAACCGTGATGATCCAGCACCATCTGAAGGTGTGGACAGCATGTGTTGCTGGAGCAGTATACTCACAGTAGAGTTCTCGGTCAGACTCGTCAGAACAGGCAGATCATTGCTCATGGTCCAGGTCAGAGTGAGTGAGCCCTGTGGAGCAAGAAGAGAGACAGTAGGACAGAGATGCAGATCAAATTTTAAACATCCATTTCCGATTAGATAAATATACCTTCTCTCACATTTAAATGGGATTTAAACTAGCCATCAAGTAGCCTCTGAAATAAATGAGCTAATTTAAAAAGGTTAGCATCATGTCATACACTTTGCTTTTAAACATTGTCCATAGATCTCAAACAGGACTAAGAACTGAGTCATAGAATCTATTTCCCTACTTTAGTTTTATTTGTAATCATATTCTGAAGCCCAGCTGTGTTTCATTTACATTTGGATGTAATCTTGCAAATATATGATCTATCCAGTTTGTTCAATGCATCAGTGCAGCTGTCAGCAAAACAAACCATCAGCATGATGTTGTTAACTCCATGCTGGAGAGTTGATACATTTTTAAAACACCTTCTAGATGACATTATTCTCCTCAAACCAGCATACAGTTAATAAAATTTGTGTTTTCCAATAAAGCCTAATGATGCTGACCTAGAACTTCTAGGCGCAGCCAAGAGTCAGGAGGGGTTCTGGTTCTGAGACCAGCGGATCTTATCCCTGCATTTTGTAGATGACGTGGTTCTGCTGGTTCCCTCCCACTAAGACCCACAGCATGCACTGGGACAGTTCATTGGGCCATGGTTCTCGACAGGAAAAGGGTAGCTTGTTCCCTTCAAGTTGGAGGAGAGGTCCTGCCTCAAGTGGAGGAGTTTAAGTATCTTGGGGTCCTGGTCACAGGTTAAATTAGAATAGAGCGGGAGCTCGGTAGATGGATTGGTGTGACTGCTGCTATAATGCAGATAATACACTGGTCTGCTGTGGTGAAGAGAGATCTGAGCAAAAAGGAAAAGCTCTCGATTTACCGGTATGTCTACATTCCTACCCTAAACTATGGTTATGAAATCTGGATCATGACGGAAAGAATGAATCATGGATGCAAGCAATGAAAAGAGCTTTCGCTACAGGGTGGCTGGGCTCTCCCATAGAGATAGGGTGAGGAGCTCAGCCTTCAAGACAGGCTTGGAGTAGAGCCTCTTCTGCTTCACATCAAAAATAGTCCGCAGAGGTGGTTCGGACATCTTTTTTGGATCCTCTCTCTCTCTCAGGAATAGTCCAGGCATGTCCCATCGGGAGCAGGCCTAGAAGACGACCCGAAACACGTTGGAGGGACAATATCTCTCAACTGGCCTGGCAGGCTTTCTAGCTTACTCTCTTGGAGAAACTAGAGAAGAAGGTGTTATGTCCCTGGCTAGAAACTAATGCTGTCTGGATGGGCCGCAGCACAGAGAGGTCGGTAAACCCTGTGTTGGAAAACAAAATATACTGTAAAAGACAGCTGCTGACTCCTTGGAAGGCATTTGTTTAGACTGCAATACTACCTTTTTGTTGTACCAATAATTGTTTTAACTGAAACGTAGTAGAAGGAAGGAGCTACACAGCATGCGAGAACCATATCTGTACTCTTTAAATATTCATGTCCTTAAATAGGCCTTTCTATTATGTTTCTTCTGTGTTATTATCTCCTTTGTGTCAGCTTCATGTCTGAGGTATTGCTCCCAGTGGGAGCGACATTGATGAAGGAGGAAAACATTAAACTTCAATTTACCAGCTAAACTGTTTATTCTTAGAATGAGTTTTTCCAATTGAACAATGAAACTACAAAACACATCAAACACATCATTAAACAGCTGGACTACATTTTTAAACTCCCCAAATCAATCCTGGTTAAACTGGTAGATTTTAGCCTAAACTGATAACAGAAACCTTCCATTTTATCATATTTGCACAAATTCCGCAAAAAGTAGCAGTCATCTGTCCACAATTATACCTGAAGCCTGTTAATAATCGAAAAGAGAAATATAGAAACAGATATTTTGTAGGAATTTATGCACATATTAAAAAACCTTTGATCTTGATAAAAACCACAATAAATTTTGACCTGCCTACTATACTGTCACCGTTAGTTTTTGTCGAAATTCATTGCAGTTGATTTTTGCATGACTAAACTACCCTGAAAACAGAACAGCTCCAGTGAATTATTTGAAGCACAAAAGGAATCTGATAGTCATGCCTATGATGAGCATAGTTAACCTCACTAAATCACACGAGCATTTCGGAAAGCATGAGCTGGCTTTGCAAAGTTCTGACTCCTGTGGAAGAGAATCACTTCCCCTAGTAGTGATCGAGACTTTGACATGCACTGAGAAAGTATTCCATATTTTTAAAAAAATGTAAGGATTAAAGGCTAGCTGTCCTCACCATGAGCAATCTGCTGCTCATGGTGGTAAAGAATAAAACAGGTTATTATCAATGTCATTAAAACACTATGAAGTGATAGAGGCGTGCATACAGGAACTATAAGGATTGGATGTTACTGGTTCAATCTTTTACACATTTTAGCTGGAGTTTTGAATGCATGATCCTTGCTGCTTAATTCAAGTCCACATAGACTGGAGGTGAAGTAAAAAAAAAAACAGCAACCAAGAGACATGGAACAAAAAAAAGATGAATTAGACAGTAAAAAAAAAACTGCATCAATGAAATACCCAGTAGATCTGAGTGTTAAATCGCTGTTTTCCCAGTCTGCAATAGATTCTCTACCAAAGTTACAGAAAGTATTTAACATCTTTTACCCTTGCAGTATATAAGTGTTTCTCCACCTCAGACATATCAGCTGATTCACTTGGATTTGGCTTCTATGCAATTTTTGTCCAGATATTTTGTATTGTAAGGTCAAAGTTGCTCATAATGCTCGATGCAAAGATTTTTATCCTGTTCATATTTTGTCACAAACTTCAGTGTTTGGGGGATTTTCTTTGCAATGAATTGGAAGGAAAATAATGCATGTTTCTTAAATATTTTCAAATGAAATTAAAATCATGTGTTTTCAGCCTATTTTGTACCTGTAATTCCCCCAAAACAAAATACTGTGCAACTGATTGCCTCCTGAAATAACTTAATGGATAAATGTGATTTGTAATTTGAAGTCTCTTTACTTACTATAGAGCAATACAGTAAATGAAACCTAGAGCTGCGAAACCGCGTCTGTTCCCCCATTGCCCCCCTACTTGTCCCAAATTTGTTTTTTAAACTGGTCACCCTAAAGCAGAGGTGTCAAGTAACGAAGTACAAATACTTTGTTACTGTATTGAAGTGCACTTTTTAGGTATCTATACTTTACTCCATTACTTATTTTTCTTCCTACTTCTGACTTCTACTCATTACATTTTCACACAAGTATTTGTACTTTCTATTCCTTACATAAAATTTAAATAAAAAAAAACGTTACCCATTACTCTTGGCTCTAGTTTAATGTTTGAAAGAAATGTATTTCACGTCATGTGCACCATCCAATAAAGATCATTGACGCCATCCACATCTAGTGAACACTAGTGTAATTGGATGAGTCATATAACGCAAACACTCATTGGTTAGCTAAAGGAAATCATCAGAAGCAAGCAGGAGTTCTATGCCATGCTACAATGTCAGATTCAGAAAAAGATGTTTAAAAATGTCTGAAAGGTCGGACACAGGCAAGAGCGTCTGGCTGGGTTTTTAAAGGTTACTTTATACTTTAAGTAGTTTTTGGAGCACATACTTTTTCACTTTTAATTGAGTAATGAGGTCAATTTGATACTTCAACTTTACCAGAGTGTTTTTAAACTGCAGTATCTATACTTCTACTTAAGTAACAAATGTGTGTACTTTTGACACCACTGCCCTAGAGTTAGACAGAGCAAAAGTTGTATTTTTGTCTATCCATATGGGACAATGCCTTTTTAAGCAATGGCTGACAACCTTAAGTGAAGCAGATGCTGAAAGAAGATGACAGAGATACATCCAGCTGTTTAGAGCATAATCTGCTGTAAATCTGACTGTGGTATCTTCTTTTTGGGGAAATGGGGGAAATTATGTTTTTCATGTAGTATATTATTTTTACATTCAACTATATTTATTTTCATTATTTTAATTGCGTTTACTTTGTTAATTTTTTTTTTTTTATAATCGTCATTATTGCCTTTAACTTCATGGATTAGAGCCTCATCCTTCTTTTTGCAGCATCTCTCAAACTGTAGAACTCAGAATGTGCTTCTTAGTGTCTGACTATTCTATGCAATTACCATGGAGATGGACTGAAAAATGCTTGTTCAGGTGTCTAAAGTATCTGGTGTTGCTCTCAAAACAGAAGATCCTCACAGAAGAACTCGAGAACAGACCAATTAATTGTTCAGATTTACTAAATTCTTGGTGGAGGAGGAAGCTATAAAGAATGCCTCCATTTTGTCTCATCAGCCCAGTGACGTTCTGGCTCCATCTCTAAGGTGAGAAGAACTATTCTCCAACAAGTCTGTGCAGCTTGTGTAACATCAGTCATCCAATGCATACCTAACACCTGCTGATAATCCTGCTGCACATTCCCTCGCTGTGAGGGAGACTCATATTTTATGTAATATCTCAGCTCAAGGTAACTATGATGAGTCCGCAGCTCTAAAGCACATAACAGTGTTCACACTGTACATGGCTGTGAATCCTTGTTCTGAAAAATAATCCCCCTCGACGCTTCACTCATAGTCACAGTCCATGCGTTATTTCTGTCCTGACATTTGTGAGTGTCTTATGAGAGTTTTCTCTCATTCACACGTTACTGAAATAGAGCAGCGTGCTATCTGAAGCTTTTGTTGATTAAATGTTTGAAATCCAAAGTGGATATCAGTCCGGATTGAATTCATTATCACGTGAACAAATCAGTTGGTATAGGAGAGTGAAGGGGATTTAAAATAGATGAAACGGATTAACTGATCAACAGATGATGTATCTTAAAGGTCAGTGAATGAATTTATAAAATTTGGCGTTTTATTCCCTGCTAACCTTGATAGACAGTAAAGCTTATCTTCAACATGTTGCACTACTTAAAGGTATAGTGGAGGATTTTCGGGAATTACTGAAAAGACCCGTCCTCTCTACTTAAAAAGCAAGCCCATTTCTCCTCGTGCATGCACTGTTTAAAAGTTACCGTTTGCATCGCTCATACAAGCTTACTTTCCAAAAGATGATTTTAATTGTTTCACTTTGTCAGACTCTCCACCGATAAGTGATAATGGGGAAGAGCACATAGGACAAGCTTATGTAAACATATCACCAGAATGATTGACAATTAGGAGGACCACTTATTTTGATCATCCATCCGGAAAAAGAACATCCTTCACTATACCTCTAACTTGCTGCATAATTAGGCTATGGTTGTAATTTGGCAAGAAGAAAGCTACCATAGAAACAGACACATTTTCCAGAATTTCCCCATTGTGGTACAATAATGGGGATTTTGTATTGTATTCTATTCAGTTCGAAATAAGAAGCTTCTATTGCAATCTGCAGAAGCCATGAAGTGTAGGATGAATGAAACTAAATTATAACTTTTCATGTAAAACAATATTTGAATTTTAAAGCTAAACTTTATAATAAAAAGTGGCAGTTGCATCATCATCATCTGGTGTTGCTTTTCTTCCTCAGTGACAATAAATCTGGTGAAAATTATCCAGATGTCCCTTGAAGCTCTGTGTCAATGCAATAATTCCAGATTCTTTCTATCCAGTAGGCTGAATCACATATTAATGCAAAACATGATTTTTTTTCTCTTGAAATACAACCATTTATGATTATGTTCCTTCAAAGATTTATTAAATCACATATAAACATTACAATGCTGATTTTTATTTATTTATTTATTTTTTTTTTTGCAGTATGTAAAGTTTACACCAATGTTTATTTGTGTATTCAAAAGGTCTAATGACTATCTTCTGTAAGTATACATCCAATTAGAATATGTAGAGATCGATTTTTCCAAGTCTCCATCTAATCTTGACCAAAATTCCACAAATGCATGCCACACTTTTCAGATTTAATATTCCATTTATACTGTCCACAATGTTACACCACTTTGTGTAGCATGAAAATACATTGCATGGCCACAAAATACACCCCCCACCCATTTTTTCCCTAAATGGTTTATTAATTATTTAACTAATTCCCTCCCTAATCTGGATACAGACTCCCTGCAGCGTGTTGTAATCACACAATCCTGTCTAAATAAATTCCCTTTTAGCTTTCAGGGTAAAGATGTAAATATTAATTCATAAATTAAATATAAAGCTCCAAACCTAAATCTTTGCCTCACAAGTGATATTTGTGGCACTTAATAAAACACACACAAAAAAACAGTTTTGCTCAATTTAGCTTTGTTCACATTCATCTTTAAGAGGGGTCTGCAATCTTTCAATTCAAAAAGCCACTTTGGCCACTGCTTCTACAGATCAAATTTGTCAAGAGCTGAAATTAAGTTTTTAAAGATGATGTTAGGATAATTATCATTGAAGATGTGTGAGTTTATCACACCCTATGGGCTGTCTGTTGCGCGTCAGAACTGATGTTTTAATCTAATTAGGACATTTCCTCTGTCTGGATTTACAGTTATAATTTTCATTCTGTTTGTGGCAAAGATTTGGAAATGGAATGACAGCGGTGTCCTATTTTGATAAGGCTGGAGCCATGGATGTCTAATCATCTTCTAATGTGTATGATGTAAAATATGATGATGTGGCAGGCTGGAGATGTATAAAATGCCTTTTTAACCGCTAATCGGGGCCACTTCCTGAGAGGTGAGCCCAGAGGTGAGAAACTGCCTTCTGTAAACTCTAAGCAACTTCTCTGATCTGAGTAAGATTAAAATTGCTATCAAAATCTAATGTCATGTCTCCTGGTTATTTAATAGATATAAGTTATGAAATGTTATTTAAAGAGTTTGTCCCGAGTGATCTCTTTCCAGGGAAAAGAACCGGAAAGATAGAGCATCAGGGTGCATACACAGAGTCTATCTTTGACAATAATAAAAGCCTAAACCAAGATTTACTGGTTCATAAATTTAAAAGAATTATTGCAATTTTATCGAAACAAATAAAAACACACATTTATTTTGTGGAACGAGTGAATCTGAGTGATCTATTAGTAATAGAATAAAAAAAACAACAACAGAAAGCTCCCCTTAAAAAGCCTTGCACCAGTGGTGCCCTGTTTTTGTTCATATTCTGTGCAGATGCATCAAAACATACACAACAGTTATCAGTTGCATTAGGAATTAAAATAGTTTATCATATAGAATGCAGAGCCCTTATCGACAACTTTAATCCCATTCAAAAAAATAAATAAATAAAAATACGATTCGTTTTCCTATTATTCAGTAAACAAAAAAACAAAAAAAAAAAACTCAATACCAAAATGATAAAAACACTGCATATTATATTATCCAGGCTTTATCATCCAAGCAGATGTTTTTTGTGATCATGGGCTCCAGATGTGCTGAATCGGTCGATAAGGGAAGCTGTTGGTGGAGTCCCTCCTCCTTTCGCAGGGGGACCACAGAGATGCGCTCAGCATCAGCACCATCGGCAGCAGAGGCAAAAACCCCCCGATCAGCAGCAGGGCTGTCCCATCATGTCAACGCGCCGCCAGGAGGAGGAGGGGGGGATAAATCACGACATGGACCCCGCTGATGAGGGAACTCCGACATCTGACACCGCTAAAATAGCCTCTGTCTTATATAATTAAAACAGCACCTGGCTGTAGGATGGACGGCTGGAGTCTGAGGGGATAAACAGGGACTCACCTGGTCGTAGAGTCGGTGTGAAGCGGGCCGCAGCCAGTCTGCACCGTCTGCATACTTTATCCTGGGCTTCAAATAACGACTGTAGTTATGAATGAAACCACACGCGATTGGACACACCCACTGCCAGCTCCCGAAGCACCACGTGACCAGTACTGATGATGATGATGGTGATGATGGTGGTGGTGGCGGTCATGATGTGAGATGGAGGAGAAGAGTCGTTTCCATTCAGCAGGCTGGTGATTGGCCCCTGCTGACGGGACGCTTCGCCTCTGAAGCTCAGAGCGTCAAATAAAGCCTCCCATCTGCAGGGGTTTTACTTTGATGTCTTTGACTCAGCAGCTGAATCCTTGTTGTGAGAAAAGATGCTCAAACAGATGCGGTGACCATTTGTGTAATTCTGCAGTTGGCCACTTGGTGGCAGCATGGCACTTTTGTTTCTGCGGTTGAAAGGAAGCTAAAAGTTGGATTATTCAAGTGTTTTCACTCTATCCAATACAGGAATAGGATTTTAAGTTTTATTTATATATATATATCTCAGAAATTATCCCAGTGCCTGCCTATTCCTAATCCAGAGCCTTTGTGATATAACCAAAAGGAAAGATATCACATCTGAAGTACTAATTTCCTATTCCGGCATGAATAAACAGTGGAAATCAAAATGTTTTTTTTCTCTACTTGCCTGCAAAACTCTGATAACAGACTCAAAAAGCTTGATTGAAGGTTTTGTAGTAAATATAGCTGCAAATATATTATTTTTATACTGAGCTTCTCCTGTGTGTTGCGATACATATCAGTATCTACTTAGATCAGTTTTCTAACCCAGATAAAAAAGTCAAATATTGCAACATTACAATAAAGGAATTGTTTATGGTATTCAATGTGTTAGTCTTTATCTAAAAGAAACCCTGAACTAAACTTCGGATCTAATTATATCTGCTATTTAGGGTCATTCTAACTGTGAACAGAATTGGAGAAGATAAGTTGGAATCATTCTTTTACCTTGTGAACTCTTCCTGGATCTAAAGCACAAAAAATAACCTTAATTCTAGTGAATCAATTCTAGATTTAAGATCTTTTAGCTTACTTCGTGTTGCCAATTAGCTTCTGATCAAGTGAATTCTTGATTGGTATTAGTTTGTTTTTCGGTATGAAGTCACATTATCAAAGCCTTCCAAAAAAAAAAGCTTATGAAAAGAACACATTTTAATGCCTTAAAAACAATTTAAGTTCATTTTACTCAGTGAAATTTTTGTTGTATCTCACATATTCTTCTTAGTCAGTCACTCTCTGATGTAAAGCTGATAGCCAGACTAAAAATTGAGAAAATATGCAGAGCTGAAAGTTTTTTTTTTCCCCCTTGAATTTATATAGGAGACACTCATCCTGTCATCACCCCAATGGCAGATAGGTTAAATGAATTCTTCTAAAGAAGGCTCATTTTTTGAGCAACCTTTGTAGCTCAGTGAAATTGAATCAAATTATATTTAGCAGCACTCAGAGGAAAACTTCCTGATTGAAAATCCCCTACAGCACTTTTAAGATGTTTTAACTATAAATTGACTCTTGTGTTTGTCTGTTTAACTTATTAATTCAGTAATTTAAAGAGATCAAAAGAGAATTCATTTAAAATATTTTGTTATAGTTTCATATATATATATATTATTAAAGGAAAAACATGTTCCTGTTTTGAGTTGATATGAAATCTCTTATCAGTTTACATACCAGCTTTACCAGAACAAGAACTAAATAAAACATTTTACAAGAAGGGGATTGTCAACATGAAGCTGGCATGTTCTTTCTGAGCATGCATGGGTTCTCTCTGGGTACTCCCGCTTCCTCCAACAGTCCAAAAACATGACTGTTAGGTTAATTGGCTTCTCTACATTCTCCTCAGGTTTTAGTGTGTGTGTGAATAGTTGTTTGTCCTGTTTGTCTCTGTGAACTTTAATTCATTTTCAGTTCATGTTCAATTAAAATAATTCAAATCTAATTTGCACAGTTTCTATCTTAGTCAGTTAAATAACATGCTGCTGTCATTTTTGCACATCTCGGCTATTTTCAAAGATCCATTACTGTAAAAATGTCCATAGCTGTATATTGGTTATTTATTCTCCAGGTTCACATTTTTTTTATATTGTTAAAACACTTTACAGTATTGGATTTTATTGTTTATTGTTTATTTATCATTTAACTCTTCACTATTATGTTCTTATAAGATCCACATTTGTGGCAATTTTTTTCTATAATCTTTTTGCTGCTGTAAACGCCAGAATTTCAACACCAAAACAGAGAGAATACAGGCTATTATTTTAAAAAATGTCATTATATAAACCTTAAAATGAACTGAACTGGTGACCTGTTCAGACTGTACCCCGCCTCTTGCCTGTTGACAGCTGTAGATAGGCACCAGCATCTCTAGCAACCCCAGCAGGGATACGGGTGAAGGAAAATGAATGGATAGATGAATGGATTTTAAGTTCTGGGTTTAAATCCCAGCCAGGTTTCTTTCTGTGGAGACTAAATATTCTCTTTGCACATGTATGATTTCTGTCAGGGTACTCCAGCTTCTTTCAATTTTTTTAAAAATAAATGTTTGATTGCCCTGTAACATGTAACCTGGATGCATAGAAAGATGGATAGAGCTCACTTAAACTCATGAGAGATTGTTGTATCTCAACAGTGAACAAAATGTTGACCTTATACCAGAATAACAGCAGAAAACAAAGAAAAATAGCCTCAACGCAGCATCTTCTCATAGTTTCCCAATAACCAGCTATCTTTAAAGTTTACCGGTTTCCATTGTTCTGTAATGCTTCCTCCAAAAGCTTTAGGATTTTGTGTAGATAGCAAAAGCTAACATATAGCTTAAAATCTCCCCATTGCTCCCATTGCTTCCTGATCTTATGGCTTTGCTGTTTTCATTTAAAATGTGCATGAAGTCGTGCACAGGCAGCTGATTTTTTCTGAGGTTTAGTTAATTATGGTTTATTTAAATAGAACAGTTACATGTGGTGTCCTATCTCTAATAAAAACCGTCTATGTTTGTAAGATCAGGAAGTGGACACATTTTTTAAAACTGTTTACCAGAATTCTGATGACTCTGATGACTTGTAACATTTCTGAAATCATATAATAGTAAGGCATGAAATTCCACATGAGTAATATATTTAGAATAGATATCATAAGTAAAGGTCATAGGAAAGAAGGAATGTAAAATGTGAAGGAGATGATGAATGCTGTGTGTTTGCTGCTTGACGTCAGAACTGCGTCTGTCTAGCAGGACATCCTGTGTAACTGGTCTCACCGAGGCTCAGAACCTTTAAAGCAGCTCCCTGTCCCATTTCAGAGGAAAACAAAATGCATGATTCAGGTGAAATATCATCGCTGAGGCCATGAAAGAGAAAAGCAACACCAGGAAGGGAATCCTTAGAGGTACCTCAAATATTTACCTGACATTTAAGTTGAAGATAAGATCTTGTGTTGAACGATATCTTATCATTCGTTCCTTGTTGATCTTTAAAGGGAAAAAAAAAACATTCTACGCTGGCAAACAAACATGTAGGGTAAGGTATGGGAGAGAAGTGACGCAGGCTATAAAGACAGAGTGATGCTACTGCTGCAGCTATTTTTGGCCACAGCAAGGCATACATTAGCTCCATCTCTCTGCCCTCCCTCGCTTCCTACGTCATGTTTTACTTTGAGCTCTTCTCTCTGCTCTGCATCAAGTGACCTCACTGCTGATAATACCAGATTCTGCAGAATACAAAGTGCTTATTGTGTACCTCCACAGCCAATAACTTAACTTGAAATTATGCAAGACTTAAACATTAAAAATAAAAAACGGTGTTTAACTCAACAATAAACCCCTCAACATACAGCAGTATGGCCCAAACAAATGTTTGATACGGTGCATACAAAAGCTTGGACTAAGTCAATGGGTAAAACAAGAAGTGAAAATGCAAAAGGACAAAAGATGAAATTCATTGTATAAAAGTGTACTGAACAAAAAAAGAGAAGAATGGGCCAATAAGTCTGTATTTAACAGCTGCAATATGCAAATAATAACAGCTGGGTTGATGTAAAATTACATATTTTTCAATAAATCAGTCGCACATGGTGCTTCTTTTTTTATACATAAATTAAAATCATATCAAACATACAAATGCACCGATATGAAAATTTGGGCTGATATTGATATATCTTTTAATGTTGATGATTTACCAATATCATATGTCCTTAAATCTTGGACTCCATGAAAAAACCCAATCACAATATACTGGGACATTTTTTTTCTTAAATAGACAATCAGACACTAGGGAACAGAAAATCATGAATAAATTGCACATAAAAGACTATTGTATCACAAATGATAAAAACAACTTATCTAATTTAACTTATTCATTTTTTTTATTTATTTGTCATGTTGAATGACAAATCTAGTTTGAAAATTGCATTTTCTGACAGTAATTTCATGGTTTAGGCTTTAACATCAGTGTGGTCTTGCATGTTGAACAGACACCAATATGTTAGAAAATGACTAACATCTTTCCTCGATAAACGTCATCATGGAAGAAGATTCCAGTGGTAGATTAAAAGCGCTAGTGAACTCCCTTTCTGAGCGTTAATGCAGAAGGAATGGTGCTACTCAAAATGTTTTCACCTTGGGCAAAAGTTGAAAATTTTTCACTTTCATATACTCACTCTTATTACCAGTTGTTTAGACATGAAATAGCTAATATTCTACAGTGAATATTAGCTATTTCGACCAGACAGTTAATAATTATTTTATGCAAGCTGCACACTAATTGAATGACATAGCTTTAAATTAAATATCAATAAAAACAATAAAAACATAGGGGATTTAGCTTCTTGTTTTTGCAAGAAAATTTCAATATTAAAAATTTGTATTGTATTGTATAAAACAAAAAAATCCAAAAAATTCATTGCATTGTATTGTTGGAGTGTAAAAAAAAATAAAAGTAAGCATTCAGGTGTAGCTTGTACTTTTGCAAGGTTTAACAGTAAAAAGCTCAAGGTACTGTTAAAATAATCTTAAAGGGTTACATCTGTTTAAGAGGTAAAAATTAGAAAGTTGCAGTACCAGCAAATCAGCTGTAATATGTAAAGTAGAGAAAATATTGACAAAAAAACAAAAAAAAATTTTTACAGACCTAAACTAAAACTGAAATATAATAAAAGTGACATAGATAACTTCAGAGACAGTATATAATTTTTGTGGGAAAAAAAATATATATATATACTTTTTTTTCATGCGTACACTTTGATTAATCCGGATAATCCCGGAATATCTCAAAGTTTGTAATTTCAGCAAAGACATTTGACATCCTGTTTCTAACGTGATTATATTGCATCATTTATGAATGGGGAGTAAAAAACAAACATTGGTGGAGCCTCACAGAGTCAAAGCTACCTGATTGGATAAGATGTTGCCTTAAAATTGTGTCAGCTTTCACTGATTGGCTGTGAGTTTCGAGGGGCGGGGCTTATTCCTAACAGGGATACGTACGTTTTACTCTTAGCTAAGCGCTGTTTAGGTCACACTCAGGAAGCTGTCACACAGTGCACTGTAATTACATCGTCATTTTCCTGAGTTTTACAACATTTGTTGCGTCGGATGAAGCAATTGGAATGAGAAGTAAACAGATATCGTTTGTTGTTTTGTTTTAGTTATTTTAATCAAGGTTTAATTTTAAAGACCGTCTGCAGCAGCAGCGGAGCTCCTGTAGCTTCACTACTCCTGAGCCTCTAGGCGGTGTTTGGGTGTCCAGCAGGTGGACACCGATGCGTTTGACCGTCACTTCAACAACCGGCTTCCCGGTGGAGCTCAGTGTCCACCGGGGAGAGACTGCCGAGGGTCTGAGGAGGCTGATCTCACAAAAACTGAGGCTGCAAACAGACAGGATCATAGTGGTTCATAAAGACAGGTAGGGTACAGGATGTGTGGTGGATTTCCATGTGAAGGGGACGTTACACTTAAACTTGCATAACCTGCACATAATGCATAACCTGCATCACATGTTTATACCATTAGGCACCTGACTGCGGGGGCACTGGTGGAGCAGGGAGTGACAGATGGCAGCAGATTGACTCTGGTCCCTGTCATTGAAACTGGTTCAGCGGTAAGTGAACCTCACTGCACGCTCTGACATAAATATAATTAATGTAATCACAGTGTAATACATAGGTTTTTGTTCTGATGCAGAATTCAACTAAAGAGAGGACAGTGATGAACACCTTGGAGAGTTTAACAGAGTCCCAGGTAAGAGTTTGCCTAAGGGGTTTAATTATTTCATGTAAAAACAAAGCGCTAAAGCTAAAAAATAAATTTTATCTGATTCTGACTCTGTGCACTTTGCAGATAATGCTAGTTTGTAATGTATTTTAGAAACTGTAGAAGTTTCCCCAAGCACCAAAGTTAGTAAGGCCTAGTACCTCTAGGCCTGTTGCTTGGGTCATTTCATTTAATTCATACTTTTTTTTTCAGTTCACTATATTTATAGAGCCATTTTAAAACACATGTCATCTCAAGGTATTCCAGAGACTATCCAATCAGATCATACAGTCAGGTTGGTAGAAGGTTTCTATCAAGGAAAACCCAGCTAAATGCATTCCGACATTTGACTTGCAGGACACACTCCTCCTGGAGAAGCTTGTGGCGGCCATATTTGCTTGCATTTTGTCATTGACTCTACAGCAATCCCTTGCACCAAGCATACAAGAAAACTCCCTTAAAAAAAAAAAAAAAAAAAAAAAACCTGCAGAACCAGGCTCAGCATGAGAGGCCTCCTGTCAAGGCCGACAGGGGTTCAACAAGACAGAAAACAGAGGCAAATACACAAACGATAGCTCAACGGGTGGCTCTTCCTAGGAAAGAAAAGTTGAGTTCTGAGTCAGTTTACATGTCAAGGGATGAGAGAGCACATACAATTAGTCACAGCAGAAGAAGAGTCGAGGAGAGAAACAGGACTACTCTAAAAAAAAAACTGTCCCGACTCCGACATATACAAAGAAAGCTGTTGATGGTTGCAGCCCAGCTGATATTTTTCACCAGGATGATGTCACAGCTAAATAGGAACAGACCATATGAAGCTATGAATGAGCATCAGATTGTTAGTTGAACTGAAAAATATTGCATAATGGTGGAATAGAGATAGATTAAAGCACAATTATGAAAAGTGGTCCCTATGTCCTCTGTAGGCCTAAGCCTATAGCAGTATAAATATAGAATATAACTCAGGATACCCTGTGCTATTCTGGGTGAGATATAAGAAAGGTACAGCAAAGGCAGTACAGTTTACTCGATTGATTTAATGCTCTGATCTGGTGAAGTTATATTATGCATAAAGTATTAATATATAATTGGTTATTTAGACTAAAAGTTTGTCCTTGAATAAGACCTTGGGGACATTGATTTTCAGTATTTTTGAAACTTTCGATGGGGTCATCTGAACAGTTTCAACAATCATTTAGTCTTGGTGATTTTAATTTGATTTCTTGCGCTAAAGTAAAAGAAAATGTGGGGAACTATCCTCCTGCTGGAGGATAGTTCCCTTAAATTGGAGTTTTCTTCCCACTGCTACAACATGTTACCACTGGATGAGGAAGTGATGCAAAAACAGTGACTCTCTGCAGTCAGTCTGGCTTATAGTTTAGCATTTAAGTGAATTCATGATCAATTATCAGTTTAATATATGTTTGAATTGGAAAACTATACTTGCATCATTTTGTATTTTTATGTATATAAACCTAATACTGGCAATCCATTGTCCACTGTTAGGGACCCTACTTTTGTCCTACAAAGTAAATCCTCAAGACTCCCACCTAAAATTTAAAGTAGGTAGGATGAATATCCTTTTCTATCAGTTGTAAATAATCTTAATTTACTCTCTGTAGGATCACTGCATGCTACTGATGTTAGTTAATAACAAAAACAACCATAACTGGTTGGGGATTGAAATGATTCTATGTCATTCTGATGGACGACAGTTTTACAAACATTACTCTTTATTAATAAAACAAATAAGAAAACTGCTGAAATATTCTGTTTCTTCAAATCCACCATCAGCTTAATAAGCTGCAAGCCATTGGGACCATTTTAAGGAAAAAAAATCAGGCTTTCAAAGTGAAAAAAAATCTTTTCAAGTTCATATGAGTGAGATCTGTTGTGAATTGCATCTACAAAATAAACTGTGTTGGAATAGAAAGCTAAATTAAATGCAGTATCCAGCATGGTCTTGATGAGTTAATTACAGGATTTGTTATTTTTCTGGATCCAAAGCTCGATAGATTTTCCCTTTTTACCCCTTTTTCTTTTTATCATATCAGACCTCTATTTGGCATTTATTGTTTTTGTTTGTTTTTTCTCTCTAAATATGAAGTTTTTCAATTTTTCAGCATTTAGCAATTTTTAGCATTTATCCAAGTTAACATCCATCTTCAACTAAATAATGTTTTAACATTTGGAAGACAAAGTGAAGGATACATTTTTAATTAATCTGCACTTCTTGTAGATAAACGACTTTCTTTCTGGACGCCTGCCTCTAACCCTCAGCCTGGGAGCCGGTGCTCATACAATGTATGTCCAGCTCCAAATGACGCAGAAAGTGAGGGAGCTCCAGCGGAACATGGACTCAATAGTTCAGCCCAGATGCACGCGTCAACCTGCAGAGATGAACAATATGGACTTGCATGAATCTTCCTCTGATGGATCCTCCATGGGATTCAGCTGCTCAAAGACGTCCTCTCCACCTTTAGTTTCAGCTCATTCTACATCCCTGCTCCAACGCAGCACACATAGACCCAGAACTGACTTCATATCTTCAACAAATGCAGGATCTGGTAGCTGCTCATCTGCCTGCACACCTTGTCCAATTTTGAATCCTACACCTTCCTACAGTCTACCTCATGCAGCTACACCAGTCTGTTCATCCAGACCATCGGGGTCTGAACCAGGACGCCTGAGTCCAGCACCAGCTTCAACCTTTGTAGAGGTCGCTGATGATTATTTTATTCTTCTTATGATTTCTTTAGTTAACAGAAATATTTTTTATTCAGATGTTTATATTTTTTCTTTACAGGGCGATGTTCCTGGACAGTTAAAGCCTCCAGGAGCTGTTATTGACAGTGTTACGAGTCATTCTCCAGGTGTCTTCTCTGGAACTTTCTCTGGTAAGTTTTTCTTGAGATGTGGTCTTTGAACAAACAGTTCAAAAGTATTTGCAACAGTTAAACTTTTTCTCAGTTCAGGTTAAAAATGCGATACACAAACACAAAGTAGCATCTGTGAAGTGTACGGACATTAAAGTTGCATTCCGTGTTCAGCCTATTTTACTGTGTAACATGGGCGATTCTAGACATGGGCAAGAGGGGCCGGTGCCCCTGTGGAAATGGTCCTGGCCACTGTTATGGGACTTGTACTAAAGACAATACTAAATTAATGCGATATTATGATATGCACTGGCACGGAAACCATAAGCTATTCGCCACTTGGACCGTTTTATTTATTTATTTTCATTTTATTAATAATCAAAAAAAAATTTTTTATTTTAGTATTGCTATAGTGCATTTGCAAAGTCCTCAGAAGTCTGTTTAGGATCATTGGTAAACAATTGGCATCATTAAGACCAAGGAACACAGTGAACAGGTCAAGGTCCTGACATCAGCCAAACATCTTAGAGAGCGCTTTTCGATCTTTCAAATGAAAATAAAAAGAGTATGCATACCTAAAAGCTTAACAAGACATGGCAGCCAACTAAAGTAAGAGGCCAGGATGGACCACTTTGCAAACTGGGATATAATGATGGTCTGTGTCGTTAAACAGTTGCTTTCTTTTGGTTATAGATAACCTGTTAAATTATTGTTTTCAAAGTTACTCATTTTAATCAAAACTACTTCATCTGTGAACCATCTGATTAGTAGGAGTTTAAACCCAACAAGCCTTCAGTCAGTTATTGTTTTGAGTTTTTCTCTGCTGACAGTATTATAGAACAGTAGATCTTAAACAGCGAACCTTACACCAACATTAAGGATGAACACAACATCAACCAAATACTTCCATTCCCAGTTCAGATACTGGGAATTTGCTAACGTTAAACTAAACTAGGAAATAAACCAAAAGAACAACCAAAAGCTAAGAAACTATGAACAAAATGGAAACAAAAGATGTGTGTGTGTGTGTGTGTGTGTGTGTGTGTGTGTGTGTGTGTGTGTGTGTGTGTGTGTGTGTGTGTGTGTGATCAGTGTGATAATGCACATTACAAACAGCACATGGTATGTTTCAAACATCCAGTTTAAAATTCAAAGTAGCGTGGAAATTAGAATACTGTTGTAATAAATATAAGTTTTAAAATAAAAATGTGTTAATGTTCTGACAACTAGTCATCACAAGCAGTGATGGACTACTAAAATGGCGGCTTAAGGCGATTGTCTTACTTTCATCCCATGGCAGACATGATGGTGTCAAACTTGAGATTAATAGCTCATAAAAAAGACAAAGAAAATAGCTGCTTTATTGTTATTTAGAAACCCCTAAGTCCCACAACAGCAGCACTAACTGTAGCTCCTGCCTTAGCGAAGCAAAGCTTTTAGCTTTAGCATTAACAGTTTAGACATCTGGGGTCGGGTCGCGGGGGTAGAAACTTCAGTAGGGTGGCCCAGCCACTTGGGCCAGCTCCTCCGGGGGAATCCCTAGGCGCTCCCATGCCAGCCGAGAAACATAGTCCCTCCAGCGTGTCCTGGGTTTCCCCCTGGGCCTCCTCCCGGTGGGACGTGCCTGGAACACCTCACCAGGGAGACGTCCAGGAGGCATCCTAATCAGATGCCCGAGCCACCTCAACTGGCTCCTCTCGATGTGGAGGAGAGCGGCTCTACTCTGAGTCCTCCCCAGATGACTGAGCTCCTCCCCTATCTCTAAGGGAGAGCCCAGACACACTATTGAGAAAACTCATTTCAGCCGCTTGTATCCGGGATCTCGTTCTTTCGGTCATGACCCAAAGCTCATGACCATAGATGAGGGTAGGAATGTAGATCGACCGGTAAATCGAGAGTTTTGCTTTTTGGCTCAGCTCTCTCTTCACCACAACAGACCGGTACAGCGCACGCTTCACAGTAGATTCCGCACTAATCCACCTGTCGATCTCCCGCTCCATCTTCCCCTCATACGTGAATAAGACCCCAAGATACTTAAACTCTTCCACTAGGGGCAGTACATCCTCCCCAACCCGGAGAAGGCACTCTATCCTTTCCGGCTCCAACCCGGAGAAGGCACTCTATCCTTTCCGGCTCAAGACCATGGTCTTGGATTTGGAGGCACCTATCCTCATCCTGGCCACTTCACACTCGGCTGCAAACCGCTCCAATGAGAGCTGTAGATCACGCCCTGTTGTAGCCAAGAAAACCACATCACCTGCGAATCCTAAGGCCACCAAAACAGATCCCCTCAACACCTTGGCTGCCCCTAGAAATTCTGTCCATAAAAGTTATGAACAGATTCGGTGACAAAGGGCAACCTTGGTGGAGTCCAACCCTCACCGGAAACAGTTTAGACAATAGAACATAATTTAATACATGATCTTTAGGAACTATGTGGAGTATTAGGCTCGGTCCTATTCCTCTCACTTGGCTCCAATACCCAGACAAAACGTTTTACTATCACTCCTATGAACGGTGGAGGTTGTTTGATGGTGCAGGATGTTGGATGGTCAGGTATGATAAAGAAAGAACACATAGCGTGGACAGTAAGTGGGGTTGAAGCTTTTGAGCTGTCTCTTATTCAGGCAGTGAAAAAATGCTTAAGGGGTACAATTCAGATTTTTTTCTTCAGGAGCTCAAAAAGACAGATTCAAGCGACTTGTCTAGTTTTTAGTCAGGGTAAATCTCATAAAGGGTGCAAACTTAGGATACTGGTACTGGATATAGAGGAAAACCAGAGAGACCAATTGAAATACTTAATATTATTGTAAGAAACAACTTATGCATTAAAATGACATAGTTCTGAAACATTTTCAAATCAAAGATGAAGAGAGCGGCTGTCCAACAAAGTTTTGAAGCTCTGTGATGTCAGGGGTGGATCTAAGCTGTGAAACTCCTCCTTCCTGGGAGCTGTGCATTAGGAGCGGTGCATTATGGGATGCATTTTCAGTCTGTTTCTTTAGTTCTCTTACTAAGTCTCTTTTGTTCCTCATAGAGTTTGGCACACTAACATAGGAAATACAGATGAATGTTTTGAAAATTCAACTTAAAAGATACCAAATGATTCCACCTGCATAACCCATAGTTATGCAGGTGAAATCATCATACTATAAAAAAAATTTTTTTACCTCTTTGCACAAGATGCTAAGAAGCTGGTCAGGCTAATTGAGCACTTTTTTAATGCTTTTTTTTAGATTTAACAATTGAAACACTAGGAAGAAACACAACTTTCCTTTTTCTTTCAGTGTTCCGATACTTATTTTGATCTGATCTATCAGATTAGACATAATTAGATTTAGGTGTAGGTTACAATGTGATGAAATATATAAAATTCTGGATCATCTGGATCATCATCTAATCAAATTAAACATAAACTGCTATAAAAATAAGGTGAATGTATTTGTGAACTAATGTCAAAGAATCAAGGCAAAATATTATTATTATGTATCTCTTCTGTTGGATTTACTATATTTTTCACTCTATTGGTGTATTTAATAATTTCCAAATATTCAATCCCATCAGGGACCCTGGGCCCCTGCAGACACGGAGGCATCAGTCATCCCCGTCGTGGCATTGCCATAATTCTCCAAATCCTTAACGACCTGCTCAGAGCTGCCTGTCACCACCAGGGGGCGCTGCTCCCTCCTTTATGTCATCTCTGCACTGCCTCAAAGCTTCCAGGCAGCCATCTCACTGCAGAGGAACCATGCAAGCAAACAAACACACCTCCTATAAGCCAAAGCACGGAACGCAGCGGTAAATAACATACTATTACAATAAGAGGATCTTTTTTTTATATTCAATTGAACATTCCAATCCTTTTTAAGCAGCACTAAATCAAAAATATTATCCAAGTCATTTAAAGTGCACCAAATAAATCCACAATAGATCTACCACAGTTTGCATTTATTCCAGTTAATTTTTAAGCAGTCCAATTACGTATCTAAATGCAGATTTAAGTGCATACCATCAAGTATGATCTATTACCACAAAATATTTAGGTTGTCAGATTTCATAAAGACATATATAACAAAGTTGGATTTGCAGAATGAACTCCCAGTTAAATCTGATTGATATATGCTCTATACTATAAGAATCTCTGGGCTGTGCAAGTTCCGTCTTTATGAAAGTGCATATAATGCTACACTGAACATTAGCTGCTGTAAATAGAAGCTTCCTTCTGCATATTGTGTAAGATGTATTTTCTTCTCTCTCCAGCAGGGGATGAGAGTCATATGCTGCACACCTCTGAAGAGGAGAATAAAACGTTGCATTCTAAGATGGAGCGCCTTCAGCTTGTGATGCATCAGAGGCGGCGCCGCAGGGAGATACGTAGGCGTTTGTTGGTCCATGGAGCCCCTGGGCGAAACCAGCATAGGCACCACCGTTCCTAGTGTTCTGCACTAAAGAAATCCACTCACTGTGACTTCTTGTTGTGTCTCATAGAGTAGCAGAGAGCATTCCATTTTACGCAGTATATAAAACCACACAGGTGTCTGTGTTTACATTGAGGCATCTGTTGAGCTACTTCACATAAACAAAAGGGGTTGAAACCAGTTTTTTTTTACTTAGCATGAATGTTGATGGCTCTTATTGTAGCATATAACATGACAAAAAGCTGATTGTTTTTCTCTGAGGGCTGCTGTTGAAGAGGGTTTCTGCACTCGGATTATTTGTTTAAGCTGTATGGGCCTTTGGGGCTTGTTATTAACTCTTATTACCAACATGTAAGAGGCAGCAAATCAGCGATGGAAATGTTTCAGGACTAAATCTTTTGAGTCATGAGTTGTGCCTTACAACAACATGCAGTATTTAAATTCCTCCATCACCGGTATCAGTATCCTAAGCTCATAAAATATGCACATGCTCCCTTTCTCGTCCTTAAAGGGACAGTTTAGGATTTTTAAAATTGAGGTTCTTTAAAACGTCACAGGTAGTTACTATCTGACCTACTGTCGATAACAATCTTATAAATAAGAATGTGGCCAATAGCTTTGTAATAAAATGTTTAATACCAAGATCATGTGTGCAGGTTAGAGTTAAAACCAATTACAGTGTTTTAGAGCCTAATTGGAAGAGTAGACATCTTCCAATGCACATTTTGACTCCAGATTCCTCCTGTTCCGTGCCCATGAGCAAGGAACTTAACTCCAAGCCACATGCTGATCTGCATATTGGTGTTTGAATGTTTCAGTGTGATTAGGTCAATATGGTTGTGGTGTAAAATGCTCTGAGCTGGCAGCATGACTAGAAGAGTGCTTCATAAATTCAGTCTGTTTATGGTGAAAGTGACCCAGAGGGATAAAGACATTTGAAAATGTTTTTAGATATTCCAATAAATATCCACCTAAACAACCTTGCTGTTTTTCAGCACTTCAAATATCCCAAGGGATTAATAAAGTCAAGTCTAAGTCTAAATAAGAATCATTGACGTATAATTGTCCTTGCGGTAAATGTCAATATTTTATGATTTTGCCTTGTAACAACAAAACCTTCAACTTGTATTATCTCCAAAAGTTGAATAGAATCAGGACTATGCATGAGATAATTTGGTGCGCCCTTCTGTTTCAAATAACTTGAGATTAGGTATCAAGCTCCTTGAAAATTAGCTGTTTGTTTGATTTCAATGGTTCTATTCCTATCTCTCTTTTTAGCCCATTAAATCACAAGTAAGCTAAAAACCATGAAAAAGCATAAATGTTATGATCTTGGTCTTGATCTTTTTTGCATTATTTACATATAGTGTTACAATTAAAACCCACTAATAAGAGTTGGATAGGGATGTTCTTTATTATTTGACAATGATAAAGGAGGTTTAGATGTGTCAGTTTTAAAGCAAATAGGACGATAAAAGCATAGAGGTTCACACAAGAAATAAAAAAATAACTAAACTAAAATCAGAATGGGCTGTATGATAAAGGAAAACCCATGTCTCATAAAGAAACAACTGTGAAATTATTGAAAACGCACACTCAAACCAAATATTTTTTTTCCAGTTTAAAAGACAATAGCCCATTGCAGAAAAACTAAAAAAAAAGAATGTGGATGGCAGCTTGGATGCTGCTTTTTATTAAAAAAAATATGTATTGTATTTTTTAAATGTAATTACCAATCAATTGATATCAGATATCAAAACAAAAAGCAGCCACAGGCTCACAGATAATAATCTAATCTACAGCTGGATTATCTGGTCCTGAAGGTGGAAGGTGAAGGCTGCTTTTAAAGTTATATTGTCTCAAAGAAGACATGAAATGAGGATTTAATTTGCAGAAGCTGTTGATCAATGTATTCTTTTCCTTCACATTAGACACTTACACTTACCAAAAGCTTGGTAAGTTGAAGTTTCATAAAACAGTGTTTGCAAAAACCTTTGGCATATCTTTGAGAATAGATGTATTTTCTAGAAGATATAAGTCAACTTTACTTGGTTTCTCTTAAACTAACCTTAGCTCCAGCCACAGACTCCAGGAAACCTGGACACTGCACACAAGGAGGGCAACATTATGTTTTATATTTAAACAGTTTAATCTTCAAATGAAACCTCAACTTTAAGATCCTGAAATATTCCTCAATCTAGGTAAATTTCTGTTTGTATCTGTGCCTCAATGCTGAGATTTCTGTTACATTTTTTAATGTGATCGGCAGAGTCTGAACCCTGATTTGTCTCCTTTGTCACTGTTTTTTTTTAATGCAATGTCAATGTTTAGCTAATTTTTAGGTTCTGAGGAGGTAACCTTAAAAAATATGATATTTGTCTGTAATATACCTCATTCATGTCCGTTTGAGCGTGTGCCTCTTAAAACCAACATCTATAAGCAATGTATTGCCTTTTCATGATTGTAGAATTGTGAATTCTCTGCGGAGAATGGTCCCTTTAAAGTTGATCTCCATTACCAAAATAATTTAAAAAAAAGAATGTGAAGAAATATAAGCAGTTTGAAACCTTCATTTGTTTATAGATTATTTGCTATACAGGGCTTCAATAATGCATGTTAAGACAGATATAATTGACTGGTATGTTTTTCTACTAAATTAGTGATAATATAAGAGCAAAGAAAAAAGTAGGTTGGTATGTTTTCTTATTATAATGCTTAGTTTCTTAGTATGGCTAAGCATTCATAAATATGGAGCATTCGTGAGCCTTTTCAGCTCTTCTCTTTGTGTTGGAAAGAAAAACAACATCCATTTCCTCCTGCATTCTCCGCCATGCTCCTCCTCCTCCTCCTCTGTGCTGCAGAGAGAGGCTCCCATCCCCCACACCATTTGTCCCATCCCCCTCCTTTTGGTGAAAACACAAATCTTCTTTTGTGACATGCAAACAGAGTCTGAACCTTCATAATAATTCAAAGCATCTCCCCTCTGCAGATGTTAATACAATCAATTTTGTCTCCAAATTCTTTTGTAATGAAGCTCCCATATCTAAACATCGGTTTCATTCTCAGCTCTCTGCAGTGGAGCGGAAGCAGAAGCACCACCTCTGCTTTTAACAGAGAAGAGAAACGACTGAATTCCTGCTATTCAGGGTTGTTCGTGAAACCGCCCAGTTTTTTCCTCTGAGGTTGCCTCAAGGCAATGAACAGCACCAGTTCAGAGCTGCAGTAAGAATGCTGATGGCGTCGATGGAGCAGACTGGCAGCAGTGAGAAGAGCTGCAACATGCTCCTAATAATAAAGCACATAGTTATGGTTAAAATGTCGGTCTGGGATTTATTTGGTATTAAGAGAATCAGAGGTGACTTCATGCTCTTAAAAATCCAAACAAACCCCAATGATAGATCCTCACAGGATGGCTACATTTGTTAAACCTGAGAAAGACCTGGTTTCAGGTAAAGAGATTAAAAGCTGAAAGGAGTAATGCAAATGAGAGCAAATGTACTGCATTTGAAAGGCTGCAGTGATAAGAAAGAACTGGATTCAATCAGAAAGCCGAAACAGCTTTGTTACAAACCAACGGCTCTATTTGAAAATTCAATTTCCTCAAAGGTGTTTTAGAAAGCAACTGCACGTCTGTTGAATACCAACATGTGGCTGATGACCCCCCATCTGTTTTATTGTTCAACCTCCCCCCATGACTTGTCTTTTCTACCACTGCTGAAAGGCAGAGCTGAACCTCCTGGGGACTCCTTTACATATTGAAACAATGAAAACCCTGAAACTGCAGACAGATAAGAAATTTACTAACGATAGAGGAAAAAAGTCACCTGCATGTGATCTGCAGATCATTTCATTATCCTATACAGTACCTTAAAGAAATATTCACATATTATTCTGAAAAACTACAGCTCTTTTTTCATCCAAACATTTTAAAGGATTTATGCACAATTGTTAGAGTTCAGAGAATAAACCCTGGTTTCTAATTGCTTGTGTTAAGCCTGATTTAATCTAGGTGCAGACTCTTTCTTTTTCTTTAGTAAACAGAATCCATCTGCGTGTGATTTAGTTTTATCAGTATCAGTAACACCTTTTACATTTATTTTCTGTTTGTCTTTAGATTTATACAATTCCAGTGTCCAACATTTTGAAAACTATTCACACTGTGAGATATTAGTGTCTTTGTAAGGCTCTGGCACTCAATCTGAGGCTGCTGAGGTCCTCCTCACAAACCATCACCATGCTGTTTTTTGTTTACTGCTCCTCTTGTGTCTATGCAGGTTATTCACATAGGCTACAGCTTGTATGATACATTTTATCTCTGAAAACTAGAAGATTAAACAACAACAGTGATTAAACAGTATAAGGGCTTGTTTTTCTTTTTTTTTGGGGGGGGGGGGGCATAATTTATGTAGTTAAAATAAGGTTTAAACAAAAAATAAAAAAGACTTTGTCATGGAGATATTTGGATAAACACTTTTAGCTTTAGAGAGTATGATGGAGTTCTACTTTAAGTACGGTATTTCTATATCATGCCACGTGTGGTACTGAAAGATAATACTTCTACTCAGGATTCATAGATCGGGTATAAAACACAAGGAACTCCATGACTAATTACCGAAGGAGAACCCAAGAGAAATAGTACAAAGGAGAAAAGCAGAAAGAATTCGATACTACAGTCTGTCATGAAGAGGAATCGACATTTCTCATACTGTAAAAAGAAGAAAGCGCGCAAATTATATGTGAAACGATATGCTAAAAATATATATCATACGCATACATGAGTCGTGATGCACCCCACTACATATTTCCTAATGGATATCCAACATATAAAGGCAAAGGACTTATATCTGCTATAAACGATTAAAAAAACTATCAATGTAAGGTCTAAAAATGGAGGGAACGTGCAGAAGGAGCAAGCAGTAATGGCGGCCAACCCCGTCCCCTGAAAATAGGTTAAAATGATTAAATAACAGTAATAATGGCATTAAACGGGTTATTCTTTGTGCATATCGAGAGGAAATAGATTCGGTGTTAAAGTTGCTGTTTTATTTTCTCACTTAAATGTGTAGAGGGATCTTGTTTCGTAATCGAAACTGAGTGTTTCCGTGAACATATGCTTGTTTTTCAGCCTTTATTGATAGTTGTTCGTTGCGCAGAACAGGAGGTGGCAGTAGAGTCAGAGTTCTGACGAATAGGAGAAGAAGCGCTCTGAGCGGAGGGTATAAAAAGGAGCGCCCCTTCTTACCCGTTCTCATTCGACTTGCATCAGCACGACCAGCTGTTCCCCAGTTATCCTCGAAAGAGAAAAAGGTAATTTTTATTTTATCTTATAAATTTACTGTTGTGACAAATGCAGCATTCCCTCCTCTTTTTTTCATTTTGTTTTGCACATTTTAAAATAGTTTGCTCAAATTTTTCTCTAAACGAATTGCTAAAATTAAATTAACAAGTTAAATTATTTTTTAAGCTTTCCTGAGGCGATCCTTTAAAAGTGGGTCACGCCACTATTAACCTGCTTTTTTTAATTGGGTCACTTATGTAACTTGGAAAGTAGGGCATCGTGTTGCAGTTAAGTAGGTCACCGAGACAAAAGAAAACGTGCCCGATGTTACAAAATGGCGACGTGGAAAGGGGGGGGCTTTCCACCAAATTGATGGTCATCGTTTTTGATTTGGAAATGGCGAATACTCGACGGTGGTATTCAAATAAACTTATTTTAATTTAGGTTTTGAAAATTCACCTTTTTTATTCTTTACAAAATGCGTGCTTTGTCTCCGCCCGAAAGTGCGCAATAACCGGGCGCCATTTTGTAACTGCCACCATGACCTACTTTCCAATGGAACTGCGTCATCCTGCCTACTGCTTAGCCAGGGCGGGGCATTTTTATTTATTTTTTTTTCTTTCTTTTGCATTTCACGCTATGTTATATTATTTCTAATGATCGTTTTTCAACTATTTTAAGTAAATGTATATATTTCTCTTTTTTTTAGTTAAACTTTAAATATGTCGGATGAGGGAAAGCTTTTCATCGGAGGTCTGAGCTTCGAGACCAATGAAGATTCTCTGGCTGCAGCTTTTGGCAAATATGGCACAATTGAGAAAGGTAAGGTTATTTTTAATTGAATATGTACTCTGCTTTTTGGTTAAGGATAGGTCATTTATTTTTTATTTTTTTTCTCCAACTAGTCGATGTTATCAGAGACAAAGAGACCGGCAGATCTCGTGGTTTCGGCTTTGTCAAGTACGACAATGTCGACGATGCCAAGGATGCTCTGGATGCCATGAACGGAAAGGTAATCTTTGTTCACGTTGTGTTGATGTAGTTTGAGGTATTTGAGACTTGAAATCTAATTTTCCTTTTTGTTGCAGACACTTGATGGTCGGGCAATTCGAGTTGATGAGGCAGGAAAGGGTGGCCGCTCCAGAGGAGGGTTCAGCTCCGGTCCACGCGGGGGTAGGTTCAGCGGTGGTTCCCGGGGGAGGGGAGGACGTGGCTTCTCAAGGGGTGAGACTTGAAACATGAGAAGTTACTCTTCTCTAGCTTTATGTTCAGTTTTTTCTAACATAAATTTGCATGTTTAGGTGGCTACAACAGCGACAGAAGCTATGGTGACAGAAGCTACGGCGACAGAAGCTTTGGCGGCAGTGACAGAAGCTTTGGTGGTGGATACAGAACTGGAGGTGGAGGAGGAGGATATGGTGGTGGTGGATACAGCAGGGAAAGGTAAGTCTTGAGTTCTGTGTGTTTTTTTTTTTTTTTTTTTTTT